CCCAACCCCAAATGCAAAGAACGAATATCCACCCATAAGCATTCAATGGAAATAAAATATGCGTAAAAAGAAAAAGAAAAAGAAAAAAGAGGAGATGCGTGCGCTATGATGCGTTAAAAACTGAGCCATGTAACCATGTTATAGACCAATACCAAATTGCCAAAACCCATTGCACACTCTGCATTATTGGAGGAAGCTCCAGGCTCTGACTAGGCATGTCGACACTTAATAATTTCAAGTATAGGCATGTCCACACTTCTCATTTTATGTCAGAAGTGTTTTTGACAATAAAAGATGTACCATAACGCCAATGCCAAGCCCGACATGCAATCTCCAACATAGAGATCAGGAATATGAATAAATAAATAAATTTTTAAAATTAAAAATAACAATTTTAGTAAGAAAATATTTAAATGGTTAGTTTTTATTGTTTTTAGATGGAACACCTATTGGCCTCCATCTTTAAGATCAATGCTTTATACTTTTTGAACCGTATATGTAGTAATGCAGTCCAGCTTGGATAAGACAATTTTCCTTAAAAGATAATGTCTTATGTGTATATATATTTTACTGAAAAGTGATGAAGCTTGTGAGATTTGAACGACATACTGGAAAGGAAAGGAAAAATACCACCTAATAATGTTTGGAAATTTATATGTAATGAGACCATTTACTTTTGATACGAGGTCACAATTACATGTAACCATCTTATATGAAATTTATAGCTTGGGTCTGTTACAAAATTCGAAAAAAAATTTAACAAATTTGAAATTGTTTAATGAAATAAATGTTGCCATCCAATTTCACATCCAATAGTCAAAGTTAATTGTGACTACCTTGTACTAAAGGTAAATAGTCTTATTGTATATTTTCTCATGTATATTTATAAGGTGTGGTTTGTGTAGAGCCCAAGCTCTAAACGATCACAATAAAACGCACTTTCAAATAGAGTTGAGAAATGTGGTTTTAATACTGAAAATATTTGTGATAGCCTTCAAATATTTTTTCATTTCTAATTATAAAATTTCAAGCTTAAAAAATAGTGTAGATCGAACATATCTATGATAATCTTGAAAATTGACTGTCCAAAACTGCATCACGATGCACTATTTCCAAAACTTGAAATCGACTTTTTTCTCATGTACATGCGTTGTGATTTGGAGAAGAACAATTTGAGTACATTTTGACATCAAAACAACCTCTTCTAATGAAAATTTTGAGGTGCGCTCTAACTTGATTGTTTAGAGTCTCGCACTTATATAAACTTTTTCCATATTTATTTTTGTGAGGTGCGCTCTAATTTGATTGTTTAGAACCTCACACTTATATAACGTTTTTCCATATTTATATGTATATAAGATGAGACTATTTATTTTTTATATAAGGAAATTACAGTTATTCCTAGCCATCAAACGGTCAAGGGTGTGTCATTGATTATGCACAATGCTTAATAAATTTTCTAGAACTTTGTACATTGTTTTTAATGTCCAAATTTAAAAACTAATAGCTATAGATGATAGTAACCTTTCTGTACCAAAAATAGATTGTCTCATAGTATACATTCTCGATGTCACAATTACTCGTGCATTAGATTTGAAACTGAACAAATTGAGTAGTTATAGGTGCAGCATTGACTATATGCCCAAAGTTCCAAAAAAAAATTTTGAACTTTGTGACACTTCCAAGCCATATATATATATATATATATATACACACACACATTACACACCTGATGGAATAGTATAAAACCAACGACTCATATTGAATTTGAATAAATCTGATAGCCACAATTGTAATTCATATTTTAATTTTAATTTTTTTTCTACAAATCTAAATCACTTAAAATTTAAATCGTCCATCTTTTCTCATCAAGGAGAACCTCATAAAAATATTTTTAAAAAATTGTTAATAAAAATTAAATTGATCAAAACACCCCTACAACTTTCACGATAGAGGTATTTTAATTTATTATATATATATATATAATTATTATTATTTAAAAGAAAATATTCTAATGGAGTTTCAACCCTGTCAAAATAAGTAAAACCTCACCCCAAAAATCACCAAACATTATAGTTTTGACATTGAAAAACCTACAAATCTATCATTTGAGCCTCATTTATTATGATTGTGAAAAAAAAATAAGAATTCAAGCCCTAAAACTAGTGTGTCATAACATAATATCTAGACCATCTATTTCGTTTTAAAAATAAGTATTCACTAATTTGTAAATCTATACCACTTTTTGAGCTTTAAATTTTATAGTCGGTGTTGGAAATTGATTTTAAAGCCACCATAAGGATTTTTAATATGCCCAAAATGCTTTCCAGACAAAGATTCGAGTTAAGACTTTAAAATTTGAGTAATGATACTACGAGACCCTCCCACACCCATATGAATATGACCCCAAATGATCACCATTAAATTTGATATAGATCTTTAAAAAAGTTATCAATAAACCCATTCATAAGTCTCAAACACATGTGATAACTTTTTTAAAGATTTTGTCAAAATTTAATGGTAATCCTTTAAAATATGGGTGTGAGATGATCTCATAGTGTCATGGCTCGTTATAATTAGAAATAAAGTTAAATTTTGAGATAATCTTAGAAACATTTTACATCAAAATTATATACCATGATAAAAGTTGAAGGTGCACCATAAAAAATACATGTAAAAAACATATCGAGCAGTATGCTTATGATTGAGATGTACTCTAAACATGACACCTGGGTGCGACGCTTTTAGAAAAAGATGGAGAAGACGTACGGTATGCTCATGATTGAGACAACGTTTAAAAACACGGTTGAGTGACCCTGATGGCCTCTCCAAAGAAAGAACCAGTTGGGATAGGCATAGTAGCCCCGAGTGACGATATGCCCACCAAATAAATTTTTTAAAAAAACATGGGAAAATTAAAAAAATATACATTAAAAAATAAAATGGGAACAGTTCTCCCGATAAAATTGGTAATAGAGCCGGCAAACAAACAAACCCCAATGATGCCCAATCTGAAACGGTTAGCCGATTTTAAAACCTTTGTTGAGATGTGTGTAATGCCAAGAAGCATATCCCCAATGGCATAAACCAGTTTGTCATAGCTCTCTAT